AAGCACTCAGTCAGAGTGTTCTGTGAGTGAAAATATATCTGTGCTAAACTTATACGCAGCCTCCAACTCACACACTGGCGAGTAAAATCTAAGAATTTATAAGCCATTGGCTAATATTAGACATCATTTAGTCAGAGTGAAGATTTAGTCGCATATGCGAGTGATTTACTCGCAATGTAGAGGTTTTTTTTTTTTATTATTTTATATTTACATTATATATATAGGCCTATATATATATATAGAGAGAGAGAGAGAGAGATTATATATATAGATTTACATCGGATTTTAATTCTGCATCCTTGAATTCAAATTTGAATTACAATTCTGCATCCTCAGTTCAAATTCATGGTTTAGGATTGGAACAGACATTCTCAAGACAATTCTGACTGAGGTACACACACACACACACACACACACACACAGACAGACAGACAGACAGACAGACAGACAAGCAAACCGTCATACTAAAATCGTTTTGTGTGCCTCTAATCTCATTTGAGAGGGTGCAGGCTTGACTCATCTTCAGGATGCCATTTCCAGTAAAGCTCATGGGATCGGAATATTAACAGCTGGCTGTTGGGCTGAAACTGCTGCTACTGTGAAACGTGAGAGTCTTAACAAAAAGCGGCAGGTAGCCACATTCACATTGTTGTCTCTATCCTGTATTCATATGGGGACCATGCATTGCAGACGTGTCTAAAAGGAATTTAAATAAGGTTAAAGGAGTTTAGGCCTGCCACTGCAAAATCAATAAAGGGATGAGATGTTGCTGTATAAAACAATATATAAATATCATTCTAAATAAACAATTTCACACAAGATTGATTGCATACCCATATGTCATGGTCTATTCAGCATGCTGCTAATAACAGAAGATGGGTCACAAGCCTGAAGAATTAGCTGACTAGCTTTATCAGGAACAGAGCGTCTTTACAGGCAGTAGATGAACAGTACACAACAAATCACAAAATCTCATTACCAATGTGTTTTCAAACAGGCATATGTATTGAAAGAAGCTTCAAAGAGATACTCAAAGGGTTCGATGTAATGTTAGCCACAACCAAAAGTTAGCCAGAAGACTTTACTTTTAACTTTTTTAACTTTATCGTTTTTCATTTGTTAGTTGGGCATTGCTTTAACAAGAACAGGGAGATCAAAATCAGATACATTTGCAATATTTTCTGCCTCATTTATGTTGAGATTTAATGTTCATATTCCTAAAAAAAAAAAAAAAAAAAGGTAAGCACATTCAATTAACAGACTACAGACCCAGACCATAATTTTTCATTCTTTGACCCCTGAAATCATATGATCGTCTGCAAACTATAGAAGTATGGAGGCTGACAGCATGCCTCAGGGTTTTGAACTGCAGGTCTTCAGTTTTTCAGCATCTCACCCGTGTTAATCTGTATCATGACAACCATCACAAGGTTTAAGTTTAGCATTCCTATCCACTTCAGTGATCACAGGCTCTGTGAGGAGTAAAATACTCTGCTGTATTCTCAATCCCTCCTCAATGTGCACACTTCAATCTTGAATCATTTCTTTTCAATGATTTCTTTTAAATATTAGCCTATATTTACTATATTCAGTATAAATAAATCACCGGCCACTAAATGTTATGCATTTCATGAAACAAAGATTTAGAATAACAAAGTGAGAGACAAGAAGACCAGAGAATCAGGTAGTGTTATAATCTTGAGAACAGAGAGGTCACACACCTTTAGTTGGAAAAGTGGGGATGATTGGTGTAGTGGATGGGGTCCAACCGACACTCTGTTCATTGACTGTAGATTCAGATCCATTATAGGTGCTCTTTTCTGTGCTGCCATATAGATATTTGCCCTCTTGTGTCAGATAAATACTTTTGTAGTCCTCCGCATCCTTATCAGGTAGCAGCAGAATATGGTACTGCGGCAGGGGCCTGGAGGTGCGTGAGGATAGACGGGATAATGGTGGAGACACAGTGGCCAGGCTTGGGCATCTTGTTGAAAGTGAAGCGACAGCATCTGAAGAAGTGAAAAAAATTTTCTTCCTTCCTGATTTAATATTTGTTGGCTTAAGTTCTTCACAGAGCTCCAAAGGGAAAAAGTCCATGTGCTCTATAGGTACGTGACTGTCCATAGGCAAAAACGCACCTACGATTGAGGTATGTGTGCTATCTTTTAAACAGTCTAAACTGGTGCAAAAACCTTGGTGAATAATGTTCTCAACTTCGAGTATCTTATCTCTCACTCTGGACGTTGCTTCCTGCTGCTCCATGCGCTTATTCCCACACTGGTACAGTTGACTCGTGTCTGTTGTTTGAGACATCTCTTGAGGACTATGCGTAGTAGTCTTCATCAGGTCATGAAGATATTGCGTCTCATTTGAGTCAAGTTCAAATCCATTGTCATACTCTGAGAGCTCACTGGAGAGATCTTCCTCAAAACTCCTTGAATCCTTGGCTTTGTTATTTTTCAATTCAGTCCGCATCCCAGGATCTTCATGCTCACATTGTCTTTTTTCATTTTTTAAAACTTTGTGTGAGAGTCGTTCAGTAGTTGAATTTAGTCTCAGTTTGCATGTGGGCATCCTCCTTTCCACTTTTAGTGAGCTCGTCATCCACAATTGCTTGTGTTTCTGCCCTCTGGAGGCTTTTCTCAGGCTTTTAGGAGAAACGATGAGCTTGTTCTCCAGGTTGCTGGTGCAGCACAGATACTCTCCACTATGGAGGTCACTTTCCAAGTCTGCATTCATGTTTCCCTGTTGATTTCCCATCACAACCTTGCCTTTGCAGTCTGCACACGGATCCAACAGGTCCTCAAAAATCACCTTATTTCTGACATTATTTGTCTTATGGTCCCCCCTCCTTCTTGCCAGAACTAATCAAAGATTTACCCTTAAGAGCTGCCTCTCCATTCTTTACGGAGCCCGGACCGTTAATGACTGTGAGAAACTTAGTTATCTGTTTTTTCTTTCTGATTAGTTTGTAAAATTGAAGAACAGTGCTGTTGCCTTCCATGACAGTCTGCTTGCTTATTAGAGTGTTCACCATTATAAGGGTCTTACTAAGAAAGAAAATATCAAAGTTAGTTAATAACTTTATTATTTTAAATTATAACATAGCATTTGTCGAATATATTTGATATAATTTGATATACACTACTGTTCAAGAAATTGGGGTCAGTAAGTTTTTGGGGAAATGTTCTCATCTGCAATTTGTTAAAATTGAAACTTTATGCTGATTTTAGTTTTGACTACAGCTGCATTAATTTAATAAGCACTTGTGTCTTGCCTTAAGAAAGGCAAAGATTAAAGTAGTTGCTATTAACAGATTGCAAAATAAAGCAAGTAAAAATTGATAAAAAATCCACAACCAATGCTCTAATCTCAGTAATCTGGAATGAAAATTGTAATTCTTCCACTGCTGGTTTTCGGGTATTCATTCGAACTGTCCCATGTGTCTTTCTTATATTGTCCCCTCTGGCTGAGATTAACTGTTGACTCTTGTACAGTCATCATACAAGATCTGAGGTCAGTGTTACAGTATTCTGTAAAAAAAATTAAAACAAGCTGGAAGGATACAGATGGGAGAAATATTTTATAAACTGGACATGCAGTCAAAAATGTTCATTGCGCATTTTTCAAGAAAATCAAAAGAAATGTTTGATTCAAGCAGGAGAAATGAATGATCATCATGATAGCGTGCCACGACAGGCTGTTGGCACACAATCTAGTGGAGCTGCGCTGAATGTAGGAATCCAGCGACTGCAGTTCAGAGGTGGCCGCCAGGTGGAGCTGTTACGCCAGAATTTCATCTAGAGACTCAGTCAAACCTGTAGAACCGCGAGAATGCTGCCGTGGCATTGGTAGTCAAGCGTTCAGATAAAACTAGCATAAAATGCTGTTATTCAGCTGAATAGGTCTCATATTTGAGATGCATGTCCTCAGAAACCTGATGTTTGTTAAATGTCTATTTTAAATATCTACTTTATTTCATATTATTTTTTAAATGTCTTGAAGTGTTGTCTAAATATATATGTATTAGTAACCTGTTCTTGTTTATTATAATATTATATTTTGTTTATTAATATTACTGCTATATTATATTTTATTTTACCTGTCACTTCACTGATGATGTAGCAATTTTGTATGTAAAGTAGCCTAATTATGCTAATGATGTAGCCTACTTTAAAATTGAGAACTGAAATGTTTCTCATATTTGAGCTATTCCCTCAGAAACGTGATGTTCATTTATGTTTTGTTGTATGTCTGATTGATTCCATTTTATCTTTTGTTTAATTGTTGTCTGTTCCTGTATTAGTAGCCTATTCCTGTTTTATTTGATTTTATAAGATTACAGTAATTTTATTTTTTGTTTACCTTTTACATTTGATATATTTCAGTATTAATTTATTATATATTTGTTATCAATAGTATTTTTTATTACTGGCACCTTTTGTATCGCTTTTCTTGTATTTTTCCACTTATCCTGTCACTTTTTTTTATGAATGGTTTGAAAAAATGACATATAAAACGGTCATCAGTTAGGCTATACGTCAAAAATATATATATTTTTTTAGCTATCAAAGAACTCGAATGCTTTTATCTACAGTAGAAAAATAGCATTATTAGATTCAGCCTTTCTTCATGGTCATAACCAAGTAAAATGCGATTAGGCTAATTCTCAGTTTAATGGTGTGTATAACACTGTCCCGGTGGCTTTAATTAAGCAAAAAAGCGTTTACAGCGTCACTCCTTCTCATATTCAACCTGTTAACCCTGCTTGTGTCAGACGTTTAATATTGCAGTATGCGAGTCTTTTTACATGCTGACTTAACCCATTCATATTTTCCGTTTGATATAAAAAGTGCATCATCGCAGGTGATGCAGATGCGATCGTCCTCGTGATGGAGCTCCACTGGCATTGAGAGCGGGAGCGCTCGTGTCAGAGATTGACAGCAGCGGCAGTGGGCTTGCCCGCTCTCCCCTATATGGCTGTGGATGGAGCGCTATGCTAATATCGGCAGGACAGGAGAAGCACTGCTCAGCTGCCTGCTGTCAGTGGTGGCTTTCGGAGTCTAGGCAGGCTCTTCTACAGCCATGGCCGAAGGTGGTGAAGGGGAAGATGAGGTTCAGTTCTTACGAACTGTAAGTAAAAACGCCGTTCTTTATTTTGCAAATGCAACATTGTTTTTTGGCGCATTCTTGGTGATTAATTACGATAAAGGCAGTGTAATGCTGAGGCATCAAAAATGTTGGCTCGTACGCCGGGTTTAAAGCAACGCTGTTGGGCTTCTCTTTGTGGTCATATTGATTTATTTGGCATCGTTACGCATATATAATAGCAAGATGTCTTTTTAGCTGCTATTTAGAGTATTATTCCCTTATTTGGAACTTGAGTCAGGTGCGAGTTCGCGCTCGCGACGCACCTGTAGTCAACGCGCGTGAATGGGAATTCAATGAGCATCAGGCAGGTGCAAGGACAAATGAAGCTTGCCACTTTAATTTTATCCAGTTTGTGATGTGCATGTTTGTCTAAGAAGGAATAAATATGTTTTTGTGCTTTGTTGTAATTGTCTCGAACGCAACAGGGGAGTTATCCAGTTGGCGCTCGTGCGCTGTTTTTAGCATAATTCTGCAGTATTTTTCATGCCATAAAGAAGTGCCCTGTTTTGTGTTCATAAAGTCTTCCCACATGCGATTACTATTTGATACGATCCTCTCACCTTCTTTAGGACTTTTCTATTTCTGTGGTTAGACGCAGATTGGTTACATATGCAGTGGCGCATGGCAGTTCCTACCTGTGTAAACGATATGATATGATATGATACCGTGGTGTGAATTACTGTCACATTGAAGTTAATTAGTTAATAGTTAGCTATAAAAATGTAGAGGCGGTTAGGTAGAGATGTTATGCAGACTAATTACCATATTTTAAAGGTTTTTACATACACTCATGTACACTGAGAAAGGATCCAAGCAGCATTTTCTTCTTTATTATGAATTTTTAGTTTTTATTTAAAGGGGTCATATGATGCTGCTAAAGAGAACATTATTTTGTGTATTTGGTGTAATGAAATGTGTTTATACGGTTTAAGGTTAAAAAACACATTATTTTCCACATACTGTACATTATTGTTTCTCCTCTATGCCCCGCCTTTCTGAAACGCGTCGATTTTTACAAAGCTAATCGGTCTGAAAAAGCGAGGTGTGCTGTGATTGGCCAGCTATCCTGTGCGTTGTGATTGGCCGAATACCTCAAGCGTGAGACGGAAATGTTACGTTCCTTACCATAATGTGATGATGCCCTGTCAGGCCAGAGCGATGATTCAAAAACATGAAAAGCCATTATAAACGAGGCATTCGTTGCATCCAGTGGGGACATAATTATGGATTATAATGACTTATACTGTCTTTTTACG